CTTGGACTGTACTTCCAAATGCTCCATTTTATCCATTATGGCTATTAAACTCTCACAGGTTCTGTAGACATCCTCCCTTGTTTCCTTGGTTTGTATTTTCTGTTCACCCATGGCTGCTTTAATCACATCCACATCTTGCTGGGTAAACTGCAAACTCGTTTTTATCTCCTGTATTTCTCTGGTCATGTCGTCGAGTCTCTTGTTATTTGTCTCCATAAGTAGTTGCACAAAACCTTTGAAGTTGTCTTGTTGTTGGCTCAACAGTGCGGTGTACATCTGCTTCTGCTGACTCAACATCTCTGTTACTTGCGTCGCTGAAATATAATCCTCTTCTGCCTCCATATCCTCATTCGCTTCTGATTTATTAGCTCTTTTCCCTCTTGGAGGCATTTTAATAGTTGTAGAATTTGTTCAAAGACTTGAAAGTGTAGAAAATGTGAAAAATCGTAGAACAGACAAGAGGAGCAGTAAAGATGTCTGCTGCATAAGGAAATGCAGGACCTCTAGACCTCTAGACCATATATAATTTAATTATATATGGTCAACAAGCCTGGTGGTACAGTGTGCAGTAGTTAGTGCAGTCGCCTCACAGCAAGAAGCTTACAGTGTCAAAATATCATATAGTACAATTCTCAAATATAGCCTTGATAATATTCAATTGATTCCCAAAATAAGTGGCCTGGTGTGAACCTCCTATAACACCTCCTTAACACTTTGGGTGTTGTGGCAGGTGCAAGACAACTGCATATAGCTAGTGAGTGAAAGAGAGTGGTGCACAGGTAAAGGCCAGCTCTTCAGCAATCATGTCATGATCATTTTGAAGCCCTGAGTGGGAATGAACATCCACTCAAGAAAGGACATGCCAGGACAATATGACCTAAAATAGCATTGCCAGTAATTTATCCAGACTATTGTTTGCACATCGCCAAATCTCCTGACTGAGATAGGGGCTAAACCACTCAACAAACGTAGGCCCACACATTCATGACTGTGTTCTTTTTGTGTCCCAGACCCACCAGCTGGGAATAACATTAAGAGAAGAGCTTGACAGAATGAATCCAACTTATTTTCAATCTGCTGTTAGGAAGTGATTTGTTTCTCTGAGATGAAGAGTGACAGTGAGATCTGAATTCAATAGACTGCATTTCTATCTGGCTCAAGTGATTATATTGACAGAAATGGAAATTATGGAATTTTTCCTTTGAAAGATGTCTCCAAGTAGGGATCTGACCATGCAGAGAATGGAGGAATTAAGGGGGGTGAAGTACAAATCGTAAATATTGATTTCCATTAGAATGGAAAGAATGTCAGTCTCAGAGGAAACAGGCAGTTTCTGCTTTGAGGATTAGAAGGATAAGTCCCTGGAAAAGACTGATGGCATCTCAAATATACAGTGGCAGTCATCACAGGAGTCCCTAGTCTGTTGTCACTATCCAGTATTAGTGTTACTACAGCTATAAAATAAATGGTATTTGCATTACACAATACCAAACTAAATGTCTCTGACATGCTGGAGACAGGTGAAAAGATAATTTCCGTTTAATAGTTCCACAAGCATATCCCTAAGAAATATTTATCCCACGTCTATACCATTTAGTTTAGTTTATAAGCAATGATAGCTGATCATTAAAAGCAATTTGTTTTAATATGAACTAATCAAATGAAAATAATGTCTGTATCCGCTGAAATAGCAACTTCCCAATGGGAATATATTATGTGAAACACACATTTTTGGTTCTCTGACATGGTGCAGTTATAACAAAAATGAACCCCCTATTAGGAAGATGATGGCAGACCCTCTTTCTGGTCAAAGTGCTCCTGTCCTATCCTGCAAGCCATCATCAAAAACAGGATGACTCAAACTGTTAATAACACAGATATAAGAGCACCAGAGTGTGATGTAAGGAGGAAAAAATAGTAATATAACATAGCTGCTGCAGTGCACAGCATCTTATGGAGTTATTTGACTGTTAATTAAACTCTAGATGTTGGGTTATATTTTTCACTCCCAAGCCAATACATTATAGACCAGATTACAAGAATCTCTTGTATTATATTTTGACATGGTTTTTGTTATATTAAAAACTATTTAGTTGATTAATCTGATGCCAACTACAGCTGACTTACCATTGTAATTTCTGGCTAGAAGCATGTTGATTACTGCTGAATTCTTATTGTAGCATGTGGTTAAAATGAAAGTAACTCAATCATAGAAAATATGGTACAATGGCCACATTAGTATTCTCTAATTAAATATGTTTGTTGAAACTACAAATTTCCTATTTCTTTTTTTAAAATTACTGTTTGAATTAATAGTAACACAGGGTGGTTTCTGATGCAGTATAAATGGGAGACAGGAACATACTGTTGAGCCTTCTCAGTGTCATGGGCCCAACTCAGCAAAACACTGATTAGTGAGACTTACCTTCACTCCTACACCCACACAGATGTTGTATTGGTGTTGGTGATATAGTGACAGACTCACTGGAATTCTCAATATTCTTCTTTTGTTAGACAATCTTGGTAGAACAGTGTCAGTCGTTGGACAACTAAGTAGACCTGGCTCTCAGAGGTGACTGCCATTACAAGCCTGCCACCATGTAACCTGAGCAAATACAATGCAGATGCTGTGTGTCAAGCCACATATCTGCTCAGGGTTCAGGGATGCTTTGCATTAAGGGGATGTTAGGTCTGGAAAATGATGTTTCTTATTGTGGGGCTCTGAAGATTTATGATGGCATGTCCTTACAAGCCACTCCTACCTTGATCCCCTCTCTGGGCCAAATCCACAGTGACACTGGGCCAACACTGCAGACATTCTTTTAAATCGTTCCAGGTCAAAGTGACAGAAATTGACTCGGGGAGAGGGCTTTGTAAAACGAATGTCAATATTTTCTTTCTTGAGGAGGTGGCAAGTGAAACTTGTGAAGTTTCATTTAGCTGCACAGCCACACTCATAAAGATTTAAAATAGTGAGAGAATTGATTTTAGACTTTGATCTGCACAATCCTCTTGGCACATTTGGTGCTTCATGGAATACTTTGAATGTTCTTTTACAAATTGAACCTTATTGATCCTTCGGAAATTTGTAAAATCTATCTATCTATCTATCCGTCTGTCTGTCCATCTAACCATCTATCTATCTATCATTGCAATCTACTGTAGGACAGCACCTCCAGGAGGATTTCATGTATATGAAAACGGGATTTCAATAAAATAGAACGTAATAAATACGGTAGTGAAGTAGCATTAAAGGCATGTGTAATATTATCGCTCAACATACTAAATAGTGGACAAAACCAATGCCACTACATTTGGCGCTAATAGATATTTTGTGCAATGTAGGAACGTTTGATCATACACAGCCTTTCCACCGGCGGGATATGTTGGTAGAACAGTTAATGTCGTCATTTCCTCTGCATGTGAGGCGCTTCGTACATGTGTAGAGCGGTATATCCACACCAGTTTGCTATATTTTTTTTAAAGACCATTAGACCATATTTTCTCATCTTGTGGTTATTGACAACAGCATCATGGAGTCCGTTGAGGAGGACGCCGCACTTGGCCAGGAGTCCGACGAGGAAAACTGTGAATTATCAGACGATGAGGTGAGTTTACTCCTAACATGCTAGCAGTGGCTAACGTTAGCTAAAGCTAACCATATCACCGTGGTGGAGCCAAAGGGTTTTAAGCGTTTCCACATATCATATTTACACAAGTTTCGAGCATAGCGGCTTCTATAACTTACTTGTGTAAAACCAAAACCAACAAATTGCTTGTAATCAACGAGTTAGATTTCACACGTTTACAGTTAGATGCGGAGGCAACGTTAGGCAGTATGAAACCTGTAAATGAATACGACTGTCTTGCTCTGATAGCTTTAATTGAATTAGCAGTGAAATTATCGTATTCTTTTTTTTTTTTTTAGCGATTTCTTGGTTGGCATGTTATGAATGTTTTTACACACTTGTTATTGAAATACATGATAGGAGAGTGGATATATCTAACCAGCCTTTGTCTTCTTTAGCTTCAAGAAGCCTTCGCAAAAGGGTTGTTGAAACCAGGGATGAACATTGTGGTGGATAAACCCAAAAAGTGTGCCAACAATGTGGTGAGTCGTTATTGAAATGATAATGATAAAATGCTCACCCTGTTTTGGTGTACTTGTATAAACCGTCAGGGGGAAGGAAAACATAGTTAACACCAACAAAAGAAAAAAGCTTATGCCATCAAAAATGTAAATACTACAATACTAGATGTATAAATACATTGCTTACATACATGGGCATTTGGTAATGTAATACCATGTCACTTGCACTTTGTGTGACGCAGGAGAGCTTAAAACAGTGCCTTGCTGACTTCCGCAAAGATCTTCCCTGGGTGGAGAGGTTGAATCTGACCAACCTGCCGGCTGAAGACGTTCTTTCCAAGGTTGAAGGAAAAGTCTCAAGTCTGACCAATGGAGATGTCAATGCAGATGATGATTTCCAGCGAGAGATGTTCTTGTAAGTGACCACAACTTGATTCAACATGTCCATATATAGATGAATCCTAATAAATCTGAAAGGCATGGTTTCAGCAGTGTTGCATTTGACTATAATTTCTGACTTATATTTTTACACGCCTGTTAACTGTTGATTATTATAGTGACTCTTAGATATTTTATTTGTTGTATATCTTATGTTGTCTTTCAGTAATCAAAATACTGCCACATGCCTATTTCTGTTATAAGTGTGGGACTAATTGGTGGTGGCTGGGAAAAAAAAAAAAAAAAAAATTTCTGACTTATATTTTTACACGCCTGTTAACTGTTGATTATTATAGTGACTCTTAGATATTTTATTTGTTGTATATCTTATGTTGTCTTTCAGTAATCAAAATACTGCCACATGCCTATTTCTGTTATAAGTGTGGGAATAATTGGTAGTGGCTGGAAAAAAAAAAAAAACGACAAACACATAGAACGTTTAACTTTGCCACAGGGGGTGCATCTTCAATCCCTTCCTGCTAAACCTGTTTTTGTATTAATTTGCAGCTACCGTCAAGCCCAAGCTACAGTTTTAGAGGCACTGCCCCTCCTAAACAAGCACGGCATAGCCACCAAGAGGCCTGATGATTACTTTGCAGAGATGGCCAAGTCTGACCAACACATGCAAAAGGTGAGTTGTTTCTACAGGTCTTGTTCCCTACAAAATGTCACAGATGCTGTTAGCTCATGTTATTTTAGTAAGAAAAAATTATGATACTCTGCTCATCATTTTTCATACATGGAACAAAAAATTCTAAACATATTTTAGTTCTTCATTTGGGTCCCTTAAACTATCCACACTTAGTACATGATCTGGGTGGGAGGGTGGCCATTTTTCAGACTTGGAACAATTGCTCTTTGCATCTTATTTAAATTCAGATATTTGAACGCATGAAAATGCATTTTGTTTCTCTGTCCAGATTAGGAAAAAGCTGATCTCAAAGCAGATGATACTGGAGAGGTCGGAGAAGGCCAAGAAACTGCGTGAGCAGAGGAAGTTTGGCAAAAAGGTCTGTTCCTGTTTTTGCCAATTTTTATTATTTGTACAAGTTTCATAGGGTCCAGTCTTTAAAGTACCCTTTTTTTTTTTTTACAATAATAATAAACCTTTTGGCCATTGACATGTAGGATGTAGTTGCCCAAGTGTGTGTAGTAGAGGTCTGCCTTCACACTGCTCATTATTTGTAATGTTATCAATAAACGGGCAAGAATGGGTGCCGGAATCTTTATAGCACACTAGAGCTCTATGCTTTAATGTGAAAAATGAACCAGAATTTGGAATCTGTGCCAGGTCCAAATGGAAGTGATCCAGAAGAGACAAAGGGAGAAGAAAGCTATGATATCTGCTGTGAAGAAATACCAGAAAGGTGGGTTCATACAACTGTGATCAGGTAAAACTGTTGCTTTACTTTTCACTTGTGAATTTTATGTCGGTTTCTTCTGCACTGGGGCAAACAAACATTGCACTTTGTGTATTTTTCTGTAAAGTCTTGTTACATGAACATGGTCTTGATGTGAGAATGTTTTTCAAATTGAAGTTAATGTTTAACTTCTTCGCTTGTTTCCACTCCTAGGAATGGCTGACAAACTAGAGTTCTTAGAAGGAGACCAGAAGACGGGTAAAGACTCTTCTCCTGGCTCAAAGAAAGCCTTGAACAAGAAGGGGTAAGGTGTGACATTTCAGCTGTGCACATTGTAACCCAAAATGGTAAACTTAAAATATTTAAGTCTTGACATCTGTGGCAATTTCACAAAACACTAAACTGTTACTGCTATTTTGACAGCCCCAATGCCAAGAGAAAATACAAGGACCAGAGGTTTGGCTTTGGAGGCAAGAAGAGTGGAAAGAAGTGGAACACCAAGGAGAGCTACAACGATGTCTCAGGTTTCCGTGCCAAAGTGGCTCATGCGAAGGGCAGCAAAGGAGGGAAGAAAGGCAAAGGAGGAAAACAAAATGTGAGTGATGCACATCAGAATCAGAATCAGCTTTATTGGCCAGTTGTGTCGGACACACGGGGAATTTTACTTTGGTACATCGGCTCTCAATATGCATGTACATATCCCCATGCAAGGGGCAAGTAAACACTAAACCAACATAAGGCTAGTATAACAAAATAGTGCTTATTTTGTTGCATTTTCACAAAACGCTAAACTGTTACTGCTATTTTGACAGCCCCAATGCAAAGAGAAAATACAAGGACCAGGCTAGTATAACAAAATACTGCTTATTTTTGTTTACTTGCCCCTTGCATGGGGATATGTACATGCACATTGAGAGCCGATGTACCAGAGTCAAATTCCTCACACATATAGTAAATGTATGTTTTTTTTGTTTGTTTGTTAAAAGAAATTGATATAGTAAGTGGGAAAGCACCTAATATTTTTTTGCCGCTTTGGCTTTCAGAGACGCCCAGGTAAGTCTGTGCGCAGGAAGATGAAGGCTCGCTCGTAAAAACAGACAGAGACTGGTCAACAGACTGTTCATAGACTTGCTTTCTAGGCAAGAAATCCTACACCTGTCTCCCAGCCTTTGCTCACTACACCTCAGGATATATGGACGACAACTCTCCTACACTTTTTTGTATAATATGCCTTTGTAAAATGTGTCTGGATTGCTGAGTGACTCTTTAAACCCCCTTCAAGCCACAGAAAGAGAGATGTCTTTCCACATTGCAGGTGGACCTTGAACTACGCAAAATACAAACTTATTTTCCCACATGCAATTTCTCTAAGGACAGTAGAGAAAAGAATTTGTCAAGAAATTGTCTTAGACACGTTTTTGTAGTTTGTGGCCATTATTTTATCTGTAAGGTAGATTTTTAAAGCCACTTGGTGTGATTATACCTTTGTATCTACACAGCCCTCTTCTCTGGTTAAATTACACTGTGAGCTCTGGAATTTGGTGTATAGTTTGTTTGTTTTTTTCCCCCCAACTCAGCTGCTTCTCCCCCATGTGTCATGACATTTTATAATATTGAGCAGCTGCCATCTTTGCCCTTTCCCATTCATTAATGATTATGTGATGGGCGACTGTGTTTTGTATAGATCTGTGCAAATGGTTCCCCTGCAAGTGCTTTTCTTAGTTTGCAAAGACAGAAATGTGAAAGGGCAATAAACCTGAACCAGTTGTTCACTTTATGGAGATCTCCATTGTAAGTGTCATTGTCTAATTTGATGATCGTAGGGCAGATTCTTTATATTTGGTGATGTCCGTGCTGCACCGGTAGAAATTGAATCTCCTGTCGTCACGATTTGATGGGATCTGAGGGGAAAATAGTCAGAACTGGAATTAGATCAGCATCTGGAGATAAAATTGGATTTAAATAACTGTTTCTTAAGACCAGAGAGCAGTTCATGCATCTGTGGTTCCTTTGTGTTCAAGTGATGACGCAAAAATATTTTTTTTACAGCTTTCAAAATATGTTATCTTAGTATTTAATTTTCTTAATATCAGTTTTGTTGGCTATATACTGTCAAAGCATTTTATTGTGATGTGTTGCTGCTATCACAAATGCATCATTGTGCCTAAAGCTGTTCACACAGATCAAGTGTGATGCCAAACAAGCCAGTAAAAGTATTAAGCTGATTTAAATGACCTTCACCTCTTTATCTATGTTCTTTCTGAGGTGACAGTGGAAACCTCTGGAACACTAAAACCTGAAAAGACTTAATTTATTAAAGGAAATTCTTTCTGCATTTTACATACTATGTAACATACTTAAGCCATCACCAATTTAAAAAGTCATTGAGTAATATTTTCTAGACTTTTAGTTTTGATAGAGCCAGGTTTTTAATTCCTTTTAAATGTCTAATCTGAGGTTGTGGTGTTTCTATTAAACTGCCAGAGCACGCTTTCCTCACCAGTGAAGCCGACAGCCATCCTAGCTCCTGACTCTCGGTCACCGGACTTGTATATTTTTTGGTGGGTTCCTGGCGGGCGTTATGAAAAGCCTTGATGAAGTCAGCTGGTGGGGGGGAAAGAACCAGATTTTCTCAAATTAATTCTAACTGCACAATCCTGTGTGGGACCACAGGGCACAGAAGCAGTGTTTTGTTTTTAACTGGTAATTTTCTAGAATTGAAAAAGTTTTAAGGAATGGATTTAAACTTACAGTTCTCTTCAATAACTTCTTCTGAGTTCCTAGACATGGGTTTGTCTGCCAGGACATGTACTAAATGGTAGTGAACACACACACAGACATACATTTGAGAGAAAGAAGACAATATACAATGCCACTATTTTATGCACATGCAGTCAAAATGGCATGAAGTAGCTGATACTCATTTTTCAACTGACATGTTATTTTGTCATGTTTCAGTTTTTGTGACAGCTCGGTGTACAATTTCTCTGGAATAGTTTGTAGAAAAAGTGCCAGTGAACGTTTATTTAAAGTCCAGGAGCCTTTAAATAGGAATTTACGACGAAACGCTATTGCCAGTTTGATTTAAGCCCGTGAGCACGCGCTCCTTTAGCTAGTTAGCGTCATTTAGGCTAAACCTGGAGTAAAAAGGAAAGTCGCTTACATTTCCTGTGTGGATTGATGCTGAACTCGGTGTGGAGTCTGTGGTGTCTTTGCTCCTTCCGGATCATCTCAACGTGAATTGCGTTTTGCTGGATAAAATCCCGTGTCTGTTTTCCTGTCATCTTAAACAAAAAATAAATCTGCACCGATACTTACGTGTAGAGGTTTTAGCTGTCTGATTTTTGTGCCTGTTACTTAGCAACGGTAAACACTGGCTCAAGCTGCAGTGTCGGGACTCGAACACACGGTGGAGCTACGCCCTCACATTTGGTCATGGTGGACGGGTACAGCAGCCATTCAACATCTATGATAAGTAATGTTTTATACTGTAGTACACATATCACAGCTACATCATAAACTCTTTCAAGTGTTCAAGTAGGTTTGGACTTTACCACCTGCTCTCAAATGGGTGAAAAGCTAACTAATGGATTTTTTTTAAAGTGACATATTTAGTCTGATTATTTTCTTGATTAATCAATTTGTTTGTTCTGTGAAACAAGTGCCCATCATATGTCAGCAAAAGATTTGTCAGAACAGTCCAACACCAAGTCTTTTCTGTTTAAGACAAAAAAGCAAGACCTTTTCAAAGGTGTGCAGCTGAAACTAATATTTTTGACATAACAACTGACCAAACAAACAAAAACATAGTGATTGGTCGATTCATCCTTTAAGCCAATGCTATTCTTCTTTTTATCTGATACTTGAATGGCTTATGTAGACAAGGATTCAGAATGAAATCTTGGTTCTTTTCTCTCTCCTCTGTCCACTCACTCCAGCTGCTGAAGGCAGACAGCCAGCCACCAGGAGCCTGGGTCTGTCATAGGTTTCTTCCTTTAAAGTGGGGTTTTCCTCTCTGCTGTCACCAAGTGCTTACTCAAAGGGTATTTGTTGGGTTTTTCTTTATGTAAAGTGCCTGATTCTTGTTGTGAACTGGCGCTATACAAATTGAACTGAATTGAATTGGAAAAACAAATCAAAGAAGACGAATTGTTCCAAAGGGACCAATGCATCATAAATATGAGTACATAAAGATTCAGTCTATTTCTTTAACTGCTTTATAATAAATATTCTCAGGTTTACAGACAGCAATAAATTCAGTATTATGTCTAGAAGTTCAGTAACATTCAATTTTTCATGCTTTGGGACCTAGAAATTTTATTTTCAACAAATCTTAAGTTTATCTTCCTCTCGGGGCCTTGTAGTCTTCCCCCACCGACTTCCAGAGGGCTTTTGTTCAATTCAGATACATGCTGTATTTCCTTCAAAGCACTACTGCTTTGTGCCATGTTGAAAATGTTTGCCTGGAGCAAAATGTAGTGGAAGAGCACTGAGTGGATTAATCCTACCACACTGTGTCAGCCAACCCAAGTACAGTGGGGTTTTTTGCTTACATATGTTCTGTGAGGCCAACAGATGCCAGTTCAGACACTTTTCTCAGTTCACTAAACAGGGCTATTTGCTGCGAGTCTGAACTATGCACATACTGACACATTTCCACTGCATCTGCACAAGACAGCAATTGTACAAGTGAGAGGGTCTAATAGCTGTTTAATTTCACACCAACTGGAAGCAAACTTTTAAGAAAGCAGCTATGACCTACCCAGAAGAAATGACCTTGTGACAGTGCGGCATGTGTAAAATAAAAAGCGGAGTGACATTTCTTCACATTGTCTTGGGGTTCACTTGACTTATCCTGCTTTTCACATTTTGTAAATAATATTTGTGCTTGGGTGGTTACAGTGAGTGTGCTGATATACTTTCAAGGCCGCAATCCCGCACTGCCTGTTGACTTCTCGCCACTTGTCTCCTCACATAAGGATGTCTTATTTCATTTCCTTTTCCCTCGTCTTCCTTCAGCCTTACTCCCTTCCTGCTGTCCCATCTGTTCTCCTCAGAAGAAATTATTTTGTTTTTATGCCCTCCTATTCCTGGTCTTGTCGACTGTGTGAACCCTGTGTGTGTTTATGTGCATGCAGTGCGCGATAACAGACTAACTTAATAAAGCTTGAGATCTTTAGCTCTTGGTTCTTGTCTTGTATCCTGATTCCGCCTTTATTGTCCCTGCATGAAAGATATAATGGAAAAGGGTAATAAACTCAAACACGGGAAGGGTTGGGGAGAGATTTCAGTGATTTCAGTGTGTGTGAGTGACACCTCCCCTGTGGTGTTTGTATACTGTATGTGTGAGACAAGGAGTGAGCAATATGCATTACAGGAAGATGGGAGGGTTTGTGGTGTCAAGCTTTGTTCCCTGGCTCCTGCACAGTGTCAAGCCACGTTATCATCAAGGCAGCTCATGAGTTCCTCAGGCAAAGTCCAGTTTATGAGTTTCTTCAAACTCTGCATGCCAGAGAAGACACAACGAATGGTGTGTGACTTGATAAAAAAAAAAACAAGGTGTTTTGAGCTATTTTTATGTTAAGCAATGAGTGTTAACAGGGAGATTTCATCTCAATTAACCCGTGAGTAGAAGTAGGAAGGAAATGTTTTGTTTTAATGTGGCTGACGAGAAATATTAATGAATTTCTAATGTGAGGTGAAGGGTGCTGAAGGCATGGTCCTTGACGTGACTAAACAGCACCTCATTCTTCCGTGTAATGGATGTCATGCCTTCCCCCCATCATTAACTTATTTCTCTCATTTTCTCTATGGTTTCTTTTCAGTACATTTGATTATTTTTAATTATCTTTTGACCTTGACTGGTCACATTCAAAAGATTAATAAAAATAATAAAATACAACGTGCTGATAATGAACCACAAACAGAATGAAGGACATTGTAATAAAAAGCTCTTAAGTAGAAACATTTAAAGAACTTTGTTGAGGTCTTTGTGTTCATTGGATGTTTTACACCCATGGCATTGAGTTGGTTATATTGTATAGAGAGGACTTGCTATTTCACTTATAGCATTATTTTACTATAAGACTTGTGTAAGACAAATATCTGCATATACTGGATTCTTAGATGTGCCAGCCTTCTCTGCTTTGAGTGCTTACTGCATTATGTGGCTTTAAACAAGAGAACTCACGAATGCACTGATGGAAGCTTTACAACAGCAGGTTGATCAATCTCTTACTTATAAATAAAGTTAGCAGTACAGTAATGAAATCATGAAGTACCTTTTTTCCATTACCACTGACTGGTTTTCTTTTTTATTATCTTTCAAGCAAAGCAAACACAATAAATTCTTACATTAACTGAATTTGAATGTAGTAGAGATGCAGTTATTTCCCCTTATGTAACTATTCTGTACTAACTGTACAGTTTGGAGAAAATGAGAGGGCAATGGTCTGAAAACCTCCACCCCATCAATCTGAATATATATTCAAGAGTAAAGGTAATTGGAATTAGGTTAGTTTTGAAGGAGACTTTGATCATGCTATCAAAGCTTCCATTCATGAATGAAATGTAAGGAATGTTAAGAAGTATACAGAGAATTAAACTTGCATTAAGTTGAATCTTTCCCTGCACATCATTTGATTACTTTCAAGTTAAATAGCACCAGCCTCTAACCTCTATTTTAATTACCAAGTGCCCTTTATCACTTGGTAATTACAACATCATGCCATGTACGATTCAGATATCTTCTTCACTATTGTACCAACATAAAACAAACAAGAGGTGCACACTTTTTCTGGTCACACTCCATCTAATCCACTCTAACATATGTATGTTTGTGGAGGTTTTTACCTTAATGAAATCCTTCTGTAGTTTCTTTTTTTCCGTTCTGGTAGCTGGCGACCTTTGCTTGGTCGTGTCTCTGACCGAGATTCAAAGGAAGCTGTACCATTTTCAATCAAGCACCAATTAATAAAAATGTTAATTTACTTTCAGCCCCACAAATGTAGTCTGGGATGGAATTTTAAAGAGCTGCTTGCACTGAAAAGGCACCAGTGTAACCAGAGTGTGGTAATCTTCAAAATGAAGATAAGAACAGTATGTCTTTTGATCCAGCAGTAGACTACATCTTGTCGATAGATTGCACTGTAGTAAATACTTTCTTTTTTGTGTGTGTGCATATCTTTGTAGTATTTTGTGACCTGGCTCTTGATAAACCTTATGGTGCAACCTAGTCACATCGAACCAGGGGTCATCAGGTGTTTCAGGTCTGACACCCTCACCTGGGTGACACAGATGGGGGGGGTGATCAAGCCCTGACTTATGACCAGATAGCACATTACGCCACATGTCTCCCCTCTTCAGCCAGTGCCAACTGGAAGCCTTTTCAACAACTTCCAAGATGTTCCTAATGGCTCTTCTTTTTTTGCAGAACAGGACCTGGTCCCGGGACCTGGGGAAGAGAGTGACAGCAAAGCCCCTGCAGTCTACCTCATCTGGTTCACAGTGGGCCTTCCTTGTTGTCCTCTGACACCAGATCTGCCAAACCTCACTATCTTCCTTTCTCGAGCCTTCTCATCCTCTCCTCCCAAGGTACAGTTAGCCCTAGCAAAAACACTTGTTTAGTTGCCCTGGCAATCATTAGAATACACGTGGAAAAAAGGGAACTTTTGGACATAAACATTACTTCTTGGAAAAAATTGAAAGCTGTTTCACTACATATTTGACAGTTGACATTGACTCACTTCTGTAGAAACAAATGTGTACAGTATGTTATCTTTCTATGATAACAAAGCAATACTGTGATATTGATTATGTATTTACATGAGTAAAAATCGGGTTCTGGTAACAAAGCTTACACTAGAGACTATGAAGGGATCCCTTCACTGCAGCTCAGCAATGAATTACTATCCAGGAACACAAGAAAGGAAAACTGAGCTTAAACCAACTTATACCAATCTGCTTAGTGGGACAGCTGAAGCTGTATTTGAGCCTCAGATGAACTTTAGAGTTCATTTTTCCACAGAAGGAGGGCTGTGCATTTTGTCACCTCATGTTTTTTTTTTTTTTTACAGCAGAGCTGTAGAAACCTTCAGGGTTGGCATGGAGAGTAAGAAATGTAACAAATACCTATTTCTCATGTACATATGGGCACATCATGATTGTTTTAAGACCAAATTGATAAATCCCAAGCAGTTTTATGGCAACAAAAAGCTGAAGAATTTGTTTAGGCTCACAGCTGTGCAGTGATCTCTGGTGAAGACCGTGAGAAAGTGATTTTGTTGTCTGCCTCTGGACCCCCGTGTCTGTTCTGTCTGTGGCTGCCAGTTAACCAGAACACTAATCTAACAGCAGATAGAATCCCAGCCCTTACAGCCCTTTGT